GATAGAGAAAAGTGGTGTTGGTTAGAAAGTCAGAGTAAAATTCTAAGTGTCAAAGGAGTTTAAGAGTTGAGTGTCCAAGAGAGTTTAAGAGTAGAGTGTTAGTCCCAGAGAGTGTTTCTTGAGTCTCTCTCTCCGCATGTCCGAATCTGAATGCCCAAACTTCAACACGTCTCTCTACCAACTACCTTCTCTCTTCCCTTTGTCCTAACTTTTAAAGGGCCAGACTATCTATACGTCATTAGTTGATAAAGCCAATAGGAAACCGTAGGTGTGTTCAATCTATGGATCGCAATTTAGGTATTTGATCCATAGAGGGCAGTCTTGCCTAACTAAACCTTCTTATCCAGGAAAGAGTTAAGTTTTTCTGATGACGATTTTGACGTCATTTGGCTTATCTAAAATGACTACCATAACTTAGATTTGCTGTCAGTTCAAAGCGTTTGTCTCAGTCTTTGTGGCAACTACTTTGATCGTAATTTGTAAAATTGACCGTTCTAAACTCAATTTCACCCCTTACTTACAATGGAACCTGGTAAAATTTAGAAAGTAAAATGAATTACTTAGTCTTCTCTATGACTAGTGTCTGTGTTTATATAATGCATTCCTTAGCTCAAGCAAGTGGCTAGTTACAGAAAGTAAGAAGAAATTATGTGTCTTTGTTATCCTGAAGATAGCAAAATGGAGTCTGCGCTGTTCTGAGTAACTCTGGCAATATACACTTTTAATTTCTTTCTTAGCACAAAATGTCTGCCGATATAAATATCCTGACATGATATAGGTATAGAGAGGTAGTATGAAATGTACTTACAATATATTGAGCATTCTTCTCTGCTCAATTTTGAGCGTATGGGTGGTATAATCCCCACCTAAGGATTTTTCCTAAATCCGAGTTGGTTCAGGTTAGTCAGGTATAAAAATTTAAATTAAATAAAATTAGGAATGTGGCAATAAAATGTTTTATGCCAAAATTCCTTTATTATAACAATATAAAATTATTAAAACTAGAACTAGACCGTAGAAAGGATGCTCCTAGCGCTCACCAAAGGACCATCAGCACCGTAGACACCATAACTACTGCATAGACACCATAAGCACTGCAGACTCAACAAACCGCTGCTGCTGGGCTAGGATCTCACCGTCTGCTATCCACCCTGGACCTACGACCAGGCTCCAGGTTCCAGTAGGTGAACCTCTTCCTTCTGTAGAGCGAAGCAGGAACAGGAACAAGAGCTCTTACAAGAGCTCAGTAGCTAAGGGAGTATGAAGAGCATAGCAATCCCTGTAGTGACTATAGCTGTCCCCTACAAACATGAGTCAAGGCTGCAAGTTAGAGGGTCAAGTCATTCTGTTTATTGGCACACAAAGAACCTTCTTTTATGCAGGTTTCCCTGAGATAGGACCACCCACAGGGTTTTACACAACAACCAATCATACACGTACATTACAGAAACACTCCCAGCAATTACACACAAAAATCCTCCCCCTCTGCCTGTGATCTAATTATGGTACACAATGGGTTAACATAATTAAACACAGGCAGTAAAAATACAGTTTTTATAAATATCCTGTAACTTTAAAACCACACATCCAATCTTCATAAATGACATATTTAGAATCAGCAACCTTCAAATAGAAACATAACCAAAAATAAGCCAAATCCATCCAGGGATTAAAAAGTTAGCTGGAGGTCCCTTTATGACCGACCGCAAGCACATTTTTCTGCCCAAAACAGTTCCATAGATTTGGGACTTAGTCTCTGCCGCAGAAAGTTCAGTATGGGAGAAGGTGGGGCTCAACGGTGTTCGCGGAAATGTGTAGCCGATTTTAGTTCGTTGAATTTGGCTACACATACCGCTGACCTCGTTAGAATGAACAAAGATGGCCGCCGCCACGTGTTTGGCAAACGAACAAAGGCCACCCAGCATTGTCAATTAAGCTGCGGTTAACCGCAGCTTCTGGGAGGTAAATTGCAGACACACTCCAATACAGGTGGTCTACCTGTGTGGTACTTGGTTCAGTAAGCCCCATTTACTGAACCAAATGGGAAATAGCCAGGCACAAAGGGTTTTAACCAGGTCTGGGGACACTGGGGACACCGTCCAAAAGGGGCAGTGTCCCAAACAAGTCTGGGGACACCGTCTTAAAGGGGCAGTGTCCCCATTTTCCCTATGCCCCAAAAAAGTGCTTAAAGGGCCAGCACCAGTCCCATAACAAGTGCATAAGCCCCAATATGCCCACAGACTGTCTTAAAGGGCCATACACACCCAATAAAAAGTCCATAAGTTTTCACAATCTCCCAGGGGCCATAGTCATGCAGAAGGAGGCTGGCAAATAGGCTTCTCCACAACCCAGGGAAGCGGGGCAATTTGTCATTTAAAGAGCCAGTTACGAATGACAGTAACACTGCTGTAAGTTACAAGTGGCACTGGTAGGTTATTAAAGGAACAATCGAGGCACAATAACCACTGCAGCTCTCTGTAGTGGTTATGGTTCCATAGCACCCTCCCAGAGTAAGTAGCCAAACTGTTTAAGAACGGTTTGACAACTTACCTGTGGTCTGCCAGATTAGGGGGCTGTAGTAGGGGATATGGCCCGTATTATGGAATAGGGGCAGTAGTGTGTGTGGGATGTAGTGGCTTTGTGAAAGGTGCAGTGTATGTAAGGGGTGCAATGTGATAATATTCCATATTAAGAATGACTGATTGATTGATCACTATTGAGCTATTACAGATAGTCAAGATGGTGCCAGTACACAGTCATGAAAATGTTTATAACCACAAAACGGTTCACGAGATAGTTATGAGAACAGAGCTAGCTTTTTAGATAGTTATGACAATAGAGATATTAACCACACAGATCTGGCAGTGACGTTGTTGTGGGATTGAAAGTCTGGCCAACTGCAGGTCCCATCCAATGCTTTTGCAAGGTCTTTGCTGGGCTGCACTGATAAGATTTGGTGGAAAAGTACACACTATTCACCCCTTTTGATTATTACGTTTCTTATAAAAGACAAGTAAACTTGGCACTTGTTGGAGTCAGTGGCGGATCCAGAGCCTGATCTCGGGAGGGGCACTTGTAGATTATTTAAAGAAATAATCCAGACACAATAACCACTACAGCTCAGTGTAGTGGTTATGGTGTCAATAGTGCCGGGACCCCCTCCCACAGTAAGTAGTCAAACCGTTTAAGAACAGTCACAAATCCTACCCGGAATCTGGCTGTGGCAAAACGGGCTCGTAGTAAGGTATAGGGACAGTGGTGTGTGTGGAGGGAAAACGCAGTGTAAGGGGTGCAGGTGGTGTGTGTGTGTGTGAAGGTTGTAGTGTGTGAGTGAGGCTGCAGTGTATGTCACTGGGATGCAGGTATGTGTAACAGCTGCAGTGCAGCATTGCAGTGTGTGTGTATGTGGGGGGCAGGCTGTGTGGCATGGGGAGCAGTGTGTGCATGGGGGGCAGTTTGCGTATGCATGGGCAGTTTGTGTAAAGGGCGTGGCAGTGTGTGTGTGTGGGTTGGGGGGGGGGCAGTTTGTGTGTAAGGGATGGGCAGTTTTGTGTGTATGGCGGTGTGTATGGGGGGGGCAGGTGGATAAAAGTGTGTGGCAGTGTTTGAGGCATGGGGGGCAGTGTGTGTGTGGGGGCAGTGTGTGTGTATGGGGGGCAGTATGTGTGTATGGGGGCAGTATGTGTGTGTATGGGGGGCAGTTTGTGTGTATGGGGGGCAGTTTGTGTGTATGAGGGGCAGTTTGTGTGAATGGGGGGGCAGTGTGTGTGAATGGGGGGGCAGTTTGTGTGTATGGGGGGCAGTATAGGGGGCAATGTATGTGTGTGTGATCAGGGTATGGTGGTTTTTTTTTTATTATATAATATTTTTTAATTTAATTAAAATAAATAAATATTCTATGTCCCCCCTCCCTTCTTACCTTTACTGGGGAGGAGGGGGGACAGATTTCGTTCCCTGGTGGTCCCAGTGGTGATTCATTGGTGGTCCCAGTGCTGAGAGTGAACTCTAACCCGCACTCCCGGGCTAGAGTTCACTCTCGCGAGATTTGGAGCGTTGCCGTGGTAACCGTGGCAACGCTCCAAATCTCGCGAGAGGAGGACCCGGAGGAGCTGCAGACTGAGCTCCGGGTCCTCCATCTCCCTCCCCTGCCGGCTGTCAGCACAGTGCCTGCGGACCGGGGAGGGAGAGCTCTGATCTCCCTCCGGTCCGCAGGCACATTGCAGGGCTAGCACTTGCATGTGCAGGCAGGGGAGGGAGACCGGCGGATTTCTCGGGGGGGGCAATTGCCCCGTTGCCCCCCCCCTGGATCCGCCACTGGTTGGAGTATTACCCACCTGTATTATGGAGGCATTGCTGTCTCTGCTGATTTCCCAGTAAGAGAGGTCCACTTCAAGCCTCACTGCCAGTTTTCTCAGTTTAGTGCAGCAAGCCTCTCTTATGGTGATGTATTAAGCTGTTTTTATTAAAGGGACACTATAGTCACCTGAACAACTTTAGCTTAATGAAGCAGTTTTGGTATATAGAACATGCCCCTGCAGCCTCACTGCTCAATCCTCTGCCATTTAGGAGTTAAATCCCTTTGTTTATGAACCCTAGTCACACCTCCCTGCATGTGACTTGCACAGCCTTCCATAAACACTTCCTGTAAAGAGAGAGCCCTATTTAGGCTTTCTTTATTGCAAGTTCTGTTTAATTAAGATTTTCTTATCCCCTGCTATGTTAATAGCTTGCTAGACCCTGCAATAGCCTCCTTTATGTGATTAAAGTTCAATTTAGAGATTGAGATACAATTATTTAAGGTAAATTACATCTGTTTGAAAGTGAAACCAGTTTTTTTTCCATGCAGGCTCGGTCAATCATAGCCAGGGGAGGTGTGGCTAGGGCTGCATAAACAGAAACAAAGTGATTTAACGCCTAAATGACAGTGAATTGAGCAGTGCAATTGCAGGGGAATGATCTATACACTAAAACTGCTTTATTTAGCTAAAGTAATTTAGGTGACTATAGTGTTCCTGTAAGCTTTGTTAGTCAATAAAGTTTGTATTGATTATTTACAAGTACTTGATGTCCGTGTTTTCCCCTTTCTCAAATACTCAATTCACTCATCCCGAATAGTGTTTTGGTGCCCACCAATATCTTTAAAAACCTTAGGGTAATTGATTATTGCTTTTTGATATTGGCGCTTCATGAAATTAATGATTAGGTGCAGTGACGGTGTGAGGAGTACAGTGTGCGAGAGGTACAGTGTCTGTGTGTGGGGTGCAGTGTGCATGAGGGCTGCAATGTCTGTGTGAGCGGTACAGTGTCTGTGTGTGGGGTGCAGTGTGCATGAGGGCTGCAATGTCTGTGCGAGTAGTACAGTGTCTGTGTGTGGGGTGCAGTGTGCATGAGGGCTGCAATGTCTGTGCGAGTAGTACAGTGTCTGTGTGTGGGAGGCAGTGTGCATGAGGGCTGCAATGTCTGTGCGAGCGGTACAGTGTCTGTGTGTGGGAGGCAGTGTGCATGAGGGCTGCAATGTCTGTGCGAGTGGTACAGTGTCTGTATGTGGGGTGCAGTGTGCATGAGGGCTGCAATGTCTGTGTGGTACAGTGTCTGTATGTGGGGTGCAGTGTGCATGAGGGCTGCAATGTCACCAATGTGGTACAGTGTCTGTATGTGGGGTGCAGGCATGAGGGGCTGCAATGTCTGTCTGCAGTGGTACAGTGTGCATGAGGGGCTACAATGTCACAATGCTTGGCCAGCGGTACAGTGTCTGTGTGTGGGGGTGCAGTGTGCATGAGGGGCTGCAATGTCTGTCACAGGAAGGTACAGTGTCTGTGTGTGGGAGGCAGTGTGCATGAGGGCTGCAATGTCTGTGCAGTGGTACAGTGTCTGTATGTAAGGTGCAGTGTGCATGAGGGGCTGCAATGTGTGTCACTAAGCGGTACAGTGTCTGTATGTGGGGTGCAGTGTGCATGAGGGGCTGCAATGTCTGTGTGGGAATTTTGATATCTGTATGTGGGGTGCAGTGTGCATGAGGGCTGCAATGTCTGTGCGAGTGGTACAGTGTGCATGAGGGCTGCAATGTCTGTGCGAGCGGTACAGTGTGCATGAGGGCTGCAATGTCTGTGCGAGAGGTACAGTGTCTGTGTGTGGGGTGCAGTGTGCATGAGGGCTGCAATGTCTGTGCGAGAGGTACAGTGTCTGTGTGTGGGAGGCAGTGTGCATGAGGGCTGCAATGTCTGTGCGAGTGGTACAGTGTCTGTGTGTGGGGTGCAGTGTGCATGAGGGCTGCAATGTCTGTGCGAGAGGTACAGTGTCTGTGTGTGGGGTGCAGTGTGCATGAGGGCTGCAATGTCTGTGCGAGCAGTACAGTGTCTGTATGTGGGGTGCAGTGTGCATGAGGGCTGCAATGTCTGTGCGAGTGGTACAGTGTACATGAGGGCTGCAATGTCTGTGTGAGGGTTACAGTGTCTGTGTGTGTGGTGTAGTGTGCATGAGGGCTGCAATGTCTGTGCGAGTGGTACAGTGTCTGTGTGTGGGGTGCAGTGTGCATGAGGGCTGCAATGTCTGTGCGAGTGGTACAGTGTGCATGAGGGCTGCAATGTCTGTGCAAGCGGTACAGTGTCTGTGTGTGGGGTGCAGTATGCATGACGGCTGCAATGTCTGTGCGAGTAGTACAGTGTCTGTATGTGGGGTGCAGTGTGCATGAGGTACAGTGTCTGTGTGTGGGGTGCAGTGTGCATGAGGGCTGCAATGTCTGTGTGAGCGGTACAGTGTCTGTGTGTGGGGTGCAGTGTGCATGAGGGCTGCAATGTCTGTGCGAGTAGTACAGTGTCTGTGTGTGGGGTGCAGTGTGCATGAGGGCTGCAATGTCTGTGCGAGTAGTACAGTGTCTGTGTGTGGGAGGCAGTGTGCATGAGGGCTGCAATGTCTGTGCGAGCGGTACAGTGTCTGTGTGTGGGAGGCAGTGTGCATGAGGGCTGCAATGTCTGTGCGAGTGGTACAGTGTCTGTATGTGGGGTGCAGTGTGCATGAGGGCTGCAATGTCTGTGTGGTACAGTGTCTGTATGTGGGGTGCAGTGTGCATGAGGGCTGCAATGTCTGTGTGAGCGGTACAGTGTCTGTGTGTGGGGTGCAGTGTGCATGAGGGCTGCAATATCTGTGTGAGCGGTACAGTGTGTGTGTGGGGTGCAGTGTGCATGAGGGCTGCAATGTCTGTGTGAGTGGTACAGTGTCTGTGTGTGGGGTGCAGTGTGCATGAGAGCTGCAATGTGTGTGAGCGGTACAGTGTCTGTATGTGGGGTGCAGTGTGCATGAGGGCTGCAATGTCTGTGTGAGTGGTACAGTGTCTTTGTGTGGGAGGCAGTGTATGTGAATATGTAGCGACTTATTGTGCATGTGTGGGTAGCTTAAAGCAAATATATATTTTCAAATTAATTTAATATACTTGATATTCTTCCCTCCTCCCTTCTTACCTTTGCCAAGGGAGGGGGGACATGTCCTGTAATCCCTGGCGGTCTTAGTCGTGAGTGAACTCTAGCTTGTAGCTTGTGAGGTTAGAGTTCATTCTCGTGAGATCCAGAGCATTGCCATGGTAACCACAATTTCCCCATTGCTCCCTTCTGGGTCCGCCACTGCTTAGACTTCAGACCACTAAAATAATGTGTCTAGTAAATACCCATCACATGGTGGGTTTAGGACGATCACTCTCAGAGGCTCCCAAGATTATAAATTAGGAAGTGCAAGGGCTCCAAAAAAGCCACAAGGTATGAATGCTGAATAATATACAGCTCGAGCTCGACATTTCTAATGTTTAACTCACTCTCTTGCCATTGGTGAGGGGTAGAAACTACAAAGACCTAAAATCAACAGCTCCACTTTAATATCAGCCAAAGCTGTGCTCCACATGGTGACTGATTGCCAAGGATCTCTGGGGTAATAATGCATATTCCCACTGCTTTTCAAATCACAACAGACCATATAGGAAAATCCATTAATACAGTGATCTATCAGGATGAGAAGACACCAACATGTAGGTTTTATTGGACTTCAACTGTAACGCAATACTGAAAAGAGAATTACCCAGGAGAGCAGTTTACTTCAGTAGGCTCTAAGATCCATGCACAGGCTCTAATAACACTGTGCCTTTACAGTAACATCTTCCATTGCTCTCCTAGTACAAAGCAAGCAATAGGTTATACAGTAATGTATATGGTGTGTTCTGCTGGGGATCCCCCTTGTGGAGTAGGTCAGCAACTATAAAACACAGACAACACAAAAGAAACGCCATATATTCTCTCATATTGTTTAGATTGGTGATGACATGAAACATGATCTGTACACGGACCATCTCTTTTAAACTAAATTAATAACAAATCTCAATTCATTTACAGATAAATATTTATACAGGACAGCGATACAGAAGTTTGACTGTCAGCGTCCACGACAACGATTCTCACTTCATATCGTTGGTTACCGGACTCTCAGTAATAACGTCTCAATACATTTTATTCTGCCACGGGAGCAATGTATAGTATTAGCAACTCTCTCTAACATTAGCACAAGGGATTCGAATTCTTTATCCGATTTCAGATTCCGCAGGAGACTGCCAACCATTTTTCTCCAATATAGGCTTTGATTTAAAATTTTTTGGATTTTTAAGCTTCCCAAAATGATTTAATATTCTGAAAAATATTTTAATATACTTTTATATGATTAATATTTTGAAATTTTTTTTATTTGAAAAGCTTATCCCAAAAATATTAAATTAAGGCCATAAGTTCTAATAAGAGTTCATCCTTTCAAAAGCTTAAGAATCTGAAAGCCCTATCAACACGGAAACAGGTAAATTCACTGGATTTTATGAAAATACCACAAATGTTTTATAGCAATTGGTAAAACATTTAGGATCCATGCCTCCTGGCTTTTGTGCTGCATGTCCCGACTAAGTGTAGAAATCCCTATCTTACTTGGATATAAATCCAGCCTTGTTTGGTATCACAGTTCTTAATGGAAATGTCTCGTTAATCTGTTGTTGCTTCTTCAGTGTGAATCTTCTGATGCCTATGAAGACTTGAGCTACAAGAAAAACGTATTCCGCATTCAAAGCACAAGAACTTTTCCCCTGTGTGAACTCTCTCGTGTTTTGCAAGGTCCGACTTGTGAATAAACTTTTCATCACATAAGGAACATTCAAAAAACTTTGGTTCTGGTTTTGGCTCCAGGTGAACTTTCTGGTGCACAAGAAGGTTGGAATATTTAATGAAACATTTTCCGCAGACCGCGCACGCAAACTGCGTTCTTCCTCTATGGGCTTTTCTATGTATCACAAGCTGAGCCTTGTGAGCAAAGCGATAGCCACAATCCCGGCACGGGTAGGTTTTCACAGCTGTGTGGCTCTTCTGATGTCGAGTAAGGTGTGCACTCTGCGTGTAAGACTTGTTACATTCTGTACAGACATAAGGACGCTCCCCGGTGTGTACACGCTGGTGTCTAACCAGATTTGAATATCTGTCAAAAAACATTCCACATTCAGAGCAAATGAAGCTTTTATCACCTTTTGGACCTTTCTGATGACTTGTTTGACAATTGACACTGTCCGATACAAAAGAAAAATCTTCCAGGTTATTGCTGTAATCATATGTACTCTCTAATAATTGTGCTCTTTGCGTTTCCATTAAGTCATTACTAACGATTTCATCACTCTCATCAGAGCTAAAATTTGTCATTCGTGTATTGCTATAAGTACCAGGGGCTGCATCATCTTCTGTATCATCTTCTCCTGCAACCACTGTTGAATATACTGGCTCGGTATATTCTTGGTGTGTACCAGCAGAGGATTCTGGGAGACTTTCTTCTTCACATGAGTTTGAGTCATCATTTAAGACCGCCGAATTCTCCAGGCTTATGCTTTCCGTATTAATGATGATCTCATCACTTTGGGCAAGAGTTATTTCTTCCATCACAAGTTCTGGTGAACTAAGTGGACTGTGGTGTCCTTCAAGGGAATTCTGAACACGTTCAGTTTGGTCAAGAATGAAATTTTCCATAGAAAGCTCAGGCAAACCAAGGTTAGGTGATGTGTTTTCCAAAAAGAGATCTAAACAGAGAAAAACACATATTAAATACTTTAGAAAAAACAGAAAAAAATCAGCGCTAAATAGCCACAATATATGAAGGCTGCACTCCTATAAAGGGAATCCCCTACAATTCCCCAAAGATTGGAAGAACACAGAAAAAACAGTACAGTAAGAATGCGCCTAAAAATATACTAAAATATATAAAATGCGTAATAAAATAGTGTATAAAATATAAAAACAAAAATAGTTCAAAAACTTATCAAAGTTTGTAATGAATAGTCCCACGTAAAGGTAAAAACCTTTACCTTTTTTACCTTTACGTGGGACTATTCATTACAAACTTTGATAAGTTTTTGAACTATTTTTGTTTTTATATTTTATACACTATTTTATTACGCATTAAATACTTTAGTAGCATGTTTATATTTGCTGTGATAGAGGACATAGATGTCTGCATATATGACAGCTAACAACAAAACAATAAACAGATGATGACAAATGAACCAAATCAGTACATAAAAAATAATTATGACCGAATTTGGAATCTAAAAATATTTCAAAATGCAACAAAAATTAACACCTTGACCACTAGTCATCACAAACTATCTTGGGTTATATCAATGTTGACAAATAAACACCATTACACAGGGCTCAAACATTCCACGCATACAGGGCAGAGTGACGACTACGCGCACACAGTAATGACACGCCGCGCAGGCAGTGACGATAGGCCACGCACACAAAGCAGACAGTGAGGATACGTGGAGCACACAGGGCAGACAGTGAGAGTACGCAGGGCACACAGCGAAGACAATGGCGATCCAACGTGCACACAGCGATGATACTCTGAGCACAGACAGTGACATGCCGCGCACACAGTACGGACAGCGGCGATATGTGGAGCACACAGAGCAGACAGTGACGATACGCGAAGCACACAGCGCAGACAGTGACGATACGCCGTGCTGACAGTGACGATACGCGGAGCACACAGAGCAGACAGTGACGATACGCAAAGCACACAGCGCAGACAGTGACGATACACGGAGCACACAGCGCAGACAGTGACGATACGCGGAGCACGCAGCGCAGACAGTGACGATACGCCGCGCTGACAGTGACGATACATGGAGCACACAGCGCAGACAGTGACGATACGTGGAGCACACAGCGCAGACAGTGAATATACCCAGAACACACAGCGCAGACAATGACAATACCCGGAACACACTGCGCAGACAGTGATGATACGTGGAACACACAGCACAGACGGTGAAATGCAGCGCTGACAATGACGGCACGCGGAGCGCACAGCGTAGACAGTGACGGCACGCGGAGCACACAGCGCAGACAGTGACAATACGCGGAACACACAGCGCAGACGGTGACCATACGCCAAGCAGACAGTGACGATACGCCGCACTGACAGTGACGAAACGCGGAGCACAAAGCGCAGAGAGTGATGATACGCTGAGTACACAGCGCAGACAGTGAATATACGCGGAGCACACAGAACAGACAGTGACGATACGTAAAGCACACAGCGCAGACAGCAACGATACGTGGAACACACAGCGCAGACAGCAACGATACGCGGAACACACAGCGCAGACAGCAACGATACGCGGAACACACAGCGCAGACAGTGACGGCACGCGGAGCACACACAGCGCAGACAGCGACGGCACGTGGCCCGCACACAGCACAGACAGTGACGGCACGCGGAGCACACAAAGCGCAGACAGTGACGGCACGCGGAGCGCACAGCGCAGACAGTGACAGCACGCGGAGCGCACACAGCCCAGACAGTGACGGCACGCGGAGCACACACAGCGCAGACAGTGACGGCACGCGGAGCGCACAGCGCAGACAGTGACAGCACGCGGAGCGCACACAGCCCAGACAGTGACGGCACGCGGAGCACACACAGCGCAGACAGTGACGGCACGCGGAGCGCACAGCGTAGACAATGACGGCATGCGGAGTGCACAGCGCAGACAGTGACGGCATGCGGAGCGCACACAGCGCAGCCAGTGACGGCACGCGGAGCGCACACAGCGCAGACAGCGACGGCACGCGGAGCGCACAGCGCAGACAGTGACGGCACGAGGAGCGCACAGCGCAGACAGTGACGGCACGAGGAGCGCACAGCGCAGACAGTGACGGCATGCGGAGCGCACACAGCGCAGCCAGTGACGGCACGCGGAGCGCACACAGCGCAGACAGCGACGGCACGCGGAGCGCACAGCGCAGACAGTGACGGCACGCGGAGCGCACAGCGCAGACAGTGACGGCATGCGGAGCGCACACAGCGCAGCCAGTGACGGCACGCGGAGCGCACAGCGCAGACAGTGACGGCACGCGGAGCGCACAGCGCAGACAGTGACGGCACGCGGAGCGCACAGCGCAGACAGTGAAGGCACGCGGAGCGCACAGCGCAGACAGTGACGGCACGCGGAGCGCACAGCGCAGACAGTGACGGCACGCGGAGCGCACACAGCGCACACAGCTGAGGGTGCTGGGTGTTAGAATGCTGGGATAGCAGGTTAGTACTCTGTCTCTGACCCCACCCACCGATTACAGATCGCCAGTGACGCCACTATTGCAGTGATGACGTCATGTGATGTAATTACCGTGAGGCCCCGCTGTCACAGCT